ACTGAACTCATTAGGTTTTACAGTGTACTGCAGGTGCCTAAGATCTTTTATTGCTCATTGTTATGATTTCTTTAAATTGCTTAATGTTGTCTTTTTTTAATTAATAATGTGCTTACCGCAGACCATCAGACATGCTGGTAGAATTTGAAAACACAAGCCTGTCTGCACAATGTGTCCTGTGATGACACATTGCAGCTGTATCTTCTGTGTCAACTCAACTCAACTCAACTAGTGGATTTCATTTCAGCTAGCAAAACAAGTTTATGTCTGCTCACATCATTTATTTATTTATTGACTTCTATTTTTCGTGCTCTGTTGTAAATTATGTAAATGTATGCATGACTTTAAGAAACCACACTAAAGAATGTTTCCTTCTTTTACTAGACTTTGTATCAGGCATATGGTCTTACTTAATACACAAATATTATACATATGGTAACTTTAAGAGTTGCGAATGAAAATGTTTGAACAGTTCTTGATTGTGTAATTAGTCAAAATGACAATAAAATCCAGCATTTTTTTCCTTTTTTTCCAATGCCAAGAGAATAGTGAAGATCTAAGTATGGCACGCTATGTTGTTAAAATAATCTACTATAATCTATAATCACCACAGCAATGAAAGCTTGATCTGTTTCCAAGGTAAGTCTTAAATTGTACATATGCCAATTTAAAAGGGCAATTTCTTAGAACTTTCACTAAAACTCATCTTTCTTTGTTTTCCTAGAATAATACCACAGACCTTTTATACAAGTTTCATACACTTATGTACATACAAGCTCTATATTAGCTCTATGATTATTGTGATAGTGGTCAGCTGAAATGTAACTGAAATGTAATTGAACTGCAATTACATCAACATGCTTCTGACTTGTACCAGTCCAGCTGGTACTGTGGGAAAAGTGAAAGGTCAAGGGACCTTTGTGCTACTACAGCAAACGCTGTCATAAAAGACATTGTTATACAATATTACACACAAAAGCTTAGTTTCTTCCTCATGTCCCAGACTGTCCACATGTTGACTGTCCACATTAGATCAGTCACTGATAAATAATTCCTGCTTTTTACATAATTAAGTTATAAAAATGTTTTAGATATCTTGTGATATGTGTGTTGCCAGATATAGTATTTGACATACTTTATTAAACTTAATTAAATGCAACCTCTTATGTTACTTTAGGGAAGGCTTTTGTTTATCCTATTTGCATTTATTATATACAAAGCGTAAAATGTAAAATCATTGAGAACAAAGCCTATTTGATCTTTTTTCCACAATCCACCCCTTCACCTAAAGTTATAATTAATTTCTAACACACACCTTTTTCCATAACTATAAACGCAACTTGCACATTTTTCAAAAAGTGGATGTCCTTGGAGGAAAGCTGGAGTTTAACACTATGTATGTTTCTTAGGGTATGACTATGTTGTATTAAAGAGTGATACACTTTTTTACACTTTTTAAATACAAAGAGCTTTCCAGTATTCATGTATACTATTATGCTAGTGAAAGCAATCTGTGTTGAGTCTCTGTCCAAACGCATTACAGAGGGCCTAATTTGCCAAATCATGACCAGATGTACCAACTAATACCAAAGCTTGATTTGCAGTTGATACATTTTGTCTGGGGGGTCCACAAAGTAAATTGATTAAAAACATTACGAACTTTTTCCTACTTTGCAAATGGGAGCATGCATCATATTTGTTTGTATTAAGGTTTGTGTTGTAGCACTTGTCCATTGCTTTTTGATTAAGATATTTCAGAACAATAAAAAAGCGAAACCAAAGTGCATCTTAAGCAATACCATGTGCCCAAAAATGTATTCTGTGCAGTATAAGTCATTTTAGTCATTATGGACCCTGTTCCACACTGTTAAATTTATTCCATCCAGATTGTAGCTCTTAACAAAAGTAGCATTTGTGATATGGTTAAAGGGACAATCTTCTTGAATTCTATTCCAAAGATGGGATTTGCTAAAATCTCTATGTTAACAGATCTCATTTCTAAACAAATTAAGCAAATTCACCAAGGATGGCTTCAGGTAAATTTGGAACTTCGGCTTTAATTTAAGCCACATGGTGTTACACATGAACACTAAAAAAAAGGCAGTTTATGGTATTTTTGGCACTGCAAATTATATAATACCTTGTTTAAGATTAGAAAAATTTGATATTAGGTAACTGAATGTGCAGGACATTGTTTATTGCAGTTCTTATCATCAAGTAACAAAGCTACATATTGAAAAACAACACAAAATAACAGTAATGAAATTTTAATATTTTCATAAATGAAAAACTAAATGTAAACATATTTGTGGATGTTCACACAATTGCATGTGAACAAAGGGATCTGACAACATGAACTCTTCTGAGAGACAGGAGTTTTAGACTAAATTAAATAAACAAGCGTCGCCAAGATACAGGTGGCCTAAGTGAGATCCTTGAATGATGCAAGTATCTTGGACTTTTTGGAGATTGCAAGAGAACATAAAAAAACAGAACAAGAAAATTACAAAAGTTAAGGAGTGCTTCACATGAAAAATGCAGACATAAACAGGAATAATCATGAAATCATGTTTTGCATGATTAACAAAACATGACAACAAAACACGCATCACACTGGTGTCCAATGTTCTGCAGTAAACAAATAAATAATTAATGGAAATAAATCCTTCAGAAAAGGTAAAAAAAATGGCCTAAGAAAAGTGTAACAGCAACAAATAACCAAATCTGATCCGACAGAGGTATTTCAGGTTTGACAGACAGGGAGAATAAATTATTTCAATAGCACAGCTTTGTAGAAGCAAAAAAAAAAGAAGAGGTTTTTAACAGGCTGGATGGTTGCTTCTCTTGCATCTGCAGTAGATACATTATTGGCCTTAATATCTTAACTGACTCAAGTCTGTTAAGCTGCACTGTTAATCACTGATCATAAAATGATAACTACAGCGACAAGCTAAAACATCAGACTGAAAAATATAACTACATTTACATTTGAGGTATTTTTAATTGTACATAAAAATATTCTTTATTTAAACATTTATAATAAAATAGTATTAATCAGAACTTAGCATTGTAAGCACTCTTTTGAAGTATCTATGTCTCGCAGTGATAATTTACTCATTGTCTTTTAATATTATATTTTGCTTTGCTAGGAAGCAAGATGATAAGAAGTGGAAAGCTTGCCAAACTGAAGTATCAGAATGACAAAAATAAGTAGCACCAAATCATCTTCTATAGTACAGAGAGTTATAATCAATCAGCAAAGTGCTTGTGATTCTTTCAATGCAATTTTCACAACATTTCTTGTATTTACTTTATGCTAGAGAGAAATTAGTAACCTCTTACACAGCTTGGATAGTTGTTTCATGTTCGGATGCTTGATCAGAATTGGCCAAAATCTGAATTAGCAGATTTTTGCTCCAACACTCAATTGGGAATTGTTCAATTTCATTTAAATAACGTGAGGCAAGTAAGTGCACTTGTGCTGTATTTGAATGATGCATGCCACAACTATACCAAAATGTCGCAGAATAATTATGCATGACTCATTGTGGTAAATAGTAAGTTGCTTCTTATGTTAAATTAAGCACTGATCCTATCTGATTCGCATTATTTGCTTGTGTGTTTCATGTGTTCCTTCAGCCCACACAGTACAGGTTTTGGGAAAAAACAGGCTCATAAATATTGGCTAAGAAAATCTGACACTGTGGCTGTAAACCATCAGAATCAGAAACAGCCATAAAAATTCAGGACTGGTGCATCGCTAGTTTTTTTTGTAAGAATAAGTGCATTTTAAGATGAGAATCATAGCATTCAGAGTCTTGATGAAGGACTCCTATCGGTATAGTGTGACATGCTTGCCCGGTCAGGGAACTGAACCCCAGTATTGTTACTCACTAAAATACATCAACTGCCAGTGCCTTATAACCTAATTATTAAAATCTTAAGTTCCTGGTGGTGAGGTACTTTTGCTACATATAATCACCGAAAGCGAAGAGAAAAACTTGCAGTTGCAGTTTGTGTTCAATTAATATTTTAAACACTACTTTTACATCACAAAGAAACATTACATTACTGCATTTTTCTGTACATGTTGTCATTTGTGATGACAAACAATAGGTCTGACCATGAGCACCAGTGAGAAAATATTAAATATTACTGTTACAACTACTAAATTAAACATTAAATCGTACTGTACAAAGTTACAAATACAATATACAGTAAGTCATTTGTTGCTGTTTGATAAACATAATATTATACTCTTATACACAAATATACACTTGTGTTCTCGATTACAGGATGTACCATCACTCACAATAGTCTCATCACGCTTTATCACATAAAACAATAAATAGCACTTGAATTTTTTACCCTCCCAAGACAAGACTCAGTGTTGTCAGACAACACAGTCCAACTAATTTACAGCTTTTATTCAGAACCTGCAGATTAATTGCATATATTTGTAATGATTCCCAATGGGGACCAGCACTTTTGTTTCTCACTAATCAGCACCATATCAGTGTAAGAGCTACTTGGGTGGCCAAAAGCTGTTACTAGAGCCAAAAGCTCATGCTGGAGCTCCTTTTTCTTGGCCACAGAAATACTGGGGTTAACTGTAACGTAATTCCAAACCCAAAACCTAATTTGTTTTTGTCCTTCTTGATGGCCTTTCTGAAGCACATGAATACTACTGAGTACTACTTGAGTACTTGAGTATCACTAACCTGTGCTTAGCCTTAACTGCCTTTACATTTACTCAAAATGGTTAATCACAGTTGTATTGATTTTTGGCTACACACTGGTAGAAACTCTGTTGTACATATACTGTTTAGCTTCAACATTCATGGAAGCCAAACACATGAGAAGTCATAATCTCACTTCCCTTAGAGTGGTAATACATCAGTGAACTCAGGTGGACATTCCACAGTGAAAGAGAGAACATGGCAGGATAAATGAGAGAGGGAGTAATGTGGGGAGCAAAAGATGAGAAATAACTATCGTACCGGCTTCCATGGTTGCCTGTGCCAGGAAGCACTGCCAGGACAGGGTTGCATGTTGCACTGCTCTACATCAGGAGGTTTGTCCAGCATGTCACAGTTGTGTTCATTCAGTCTCTGACCGTTTGGTCGCTGGCACACTACCAGCCGTGTCCGCTGTCCACCACCACATGACTGAGTGCACTACAAGAGGAAAAAAGATGATTTACTACTAAAAAAGATTTAGAAGGAAGGACAAACAGAGATTGAGAGGAAGCAGTACAGAGGTAACACATGAGAAAAAACAGGAAGTGTCAACAATGCCAGAAAGAAATGGGAACAAATGCAACTTTAAACATTCCACTTTGGTTCACTCCCACCAGACCTACACTAGGTGATTGTAGCCCATTTCTCAAGACACAAGCACAACTGCTTCCCTAACACAGGTGGAGACACAAAGGACAGAAAAACAGAGGAAAAAGGGTCGACATTTCCTATCAAAGTCCGTATATGCCGACTTTACTCTGTTTGACTGAATAGAATTACAAGGTATAAATATTAATATGGTGATTTTTTTGTACAACACACTGTAGGGAGACTGTATCGTCCTACCATGTACATCACCGCCTGGCTTTTTGCTTCAGTGTGTAGTATTAGCAGCGCCGCTCAGTTTCTATTTGCTCAGTAGTCGGCATGCATCATGTTATTATTAACGGAACAGTTTTATTTGAAATTGTTCACGGACAGCGTGTTTCACACAGCATGGACCGAGCATTTTCATACAGAGAGAGCATATAAATTGCAGGCTTTGTTCAAACACGATAGACTATTCAAACGTACAGTGTGAGTCACCAAAGAACAAAATCACACAGTGTTACAGCTCAACCAGCCAAACAAAAGACTCCAGATGTAAAACTCTACAAGTGAGCTCCTCGATGCCTTAGTCTCACATGTGATTCCTGCTGTCACTGAGCTACAGAGACTGTTGCTGAAAGAGACAGATCAGGGTTCAAAACTATGAAACACACTTTACTTACAGCTGTACAGAAGCACTTCTCTGACAAGGAAAAAAACTCACTCTTCTCCACTGCAGTGCTACCTGATCCAAGGTAACTAATATAACATAGCTAGCTAATGCACATTATTTAAAATTAGCTAGACTGCAATGATTTAACTGTTAAGGTACATTGCACTCATTTACACTAACTGCTTAATTCTAAGGAAATTCAATATGGTATTGGAAACTGTATTAGCAAGTACAGAAAAATGTGTACTTATGCTCGCTCTGCAAACAATTGTGTCAATACATCCTTAAATGCAACAATGCTGATGTGCTAAAGATGCAAACCTATACCATTGGTGTGTAATTTCACCAGCTTTCATTAGAAAGCTACTGCTTTGATGGAAACATTAGGGCTTTATGGCAGCCAGAATAATCCATGTTTAAAATGCTCACTGAAGAGAGATATAGAGTGATGCTGGCAATAGAAAAAACATTTCACAGGGACTCAGAAGGCACTTATTAGATAGTGACAGACTCAGGATGCGACTGAGATAAAAATTTGTGCTGTTTATTTACATGTAACGTTTCCAATGAGAGCATTCAATTCCTTGATTTTACCAAAATTAAATAAACCGCAGCCATATTTAAGGCAGATGAGGCTAAGTGTGGAAGATTCAAGCATCATTTATATCAATTTAGCTGAGATTCACAGCTGGTCTTAAAGATGCCAAGTTCCACACATCACATTTTCAAAGTTCAGAACCTACCAAGTCCTTGTCCATGTGTTTATTGTTGTATAGGATGTGGAGAGCTGATGGGGTGTGCCATAGGATAATTTCCAGCAAAAAAGAAAAAAGGTACAGTGGAAGTCATCCTAACTATTCACCTCTCCCCAGATGCCGTAGTTCCAAAGCGGACAGGGTCCCGAGTCACAGCTTTTTGACTCACTGGGTTTGACTCTCTCATCACAGTAATTGGTGCTACGGCCCTCTGAGTCCTGACACACCACCACTCTCCTCTGGAAGCCACCCTCACATGTACTGGAGCACTGTGAAAGGGGTAGACACGTCATTTATACAACACACAAAAGTAACACCACTCTGCGTATCAACGAGAACCATTCAGTCTAGAAGTTTATTGCAGAATGATTTGTCTGAACAGAGGACATGAAATTCTTGTATTAAGCATGCACAAATTTCCAGTGCTGTCACCAATGACACTGTGCGCTGGGGGACTTACTTTTAAACCATTGTTAGAATGTGTGTATAATTGTATTTATTAAGTAACTGGGCATGAAATTATGCTTTCAAGTTATGCCCTCTGTTTTTAAAAATAAAACTGCAGCCAAATCAAGCTCAGAAAACCCTAGTTACAAACAGGAAAAAGTTTCAACTTCAAATGTAAGTAACTTCTATAAGCTCAGGCAAAGAAGACCTATGGATAATATATATTTTTAAGAAATATATTAGAAAGTGTGGATATTTGGGAACACATTGCTCAGAAGACTAAGATTTACGATATATGGAATGGTCTATGTAGTCTATGTGTGAATGTGTGTCTGTGTGAGTACGCATCAGGAATAACAGAAGGACATACTGATCCCCAGGGCCCAGTCCTCCACTGGTTGTCAGCAGAGGGGACATTCCAGCTGCTGTGGCCAGGATGGCTTCCAGGGTCATAGGGGAAGTAGGGCTGGTTGTTGGGCCACAGGTGGTAAACTGAGTGGCAAGGCACTGCGGCACACTCTTGCTCCATGCTAGGCTTCTCATCCGGGTGGCAGAAGGACTCATCCACTTGCTGGTTGTAGTTCACACACACCACTTGTCGCGTAGAGCGACCCACTCCACATGACACGGAGCACTGGAGAGGAGAAATAAGTGAAGAATGGACTAACACTGATTCATTCATTAACTTTGCATTAATTAATTAATTCAGTACAGATACTCACAGGTGACCACTCTCCCTCTCTCCAGTGGCCACAAGGGCTGAAGCACACTAAGGTTTCTGGGGGACGAGGTAGATGGGCGCAGTAAGATTCATCAGCTACTCCTCCCTGAGCATCTCTGCAGCTGACATAACGTGCTCTCTCACCCTTACCACAAGAGACCGAGCACTAAAAGACACACACACACACAAAGATGTAGATAGGCACAAACATAAAGATACACATACATACACAAATATGTACATAATTGTTAATAAAATGCTTGAAGTTCCACAGCCCCCTTTTATCCCTAGGCATTTTATTCAGAGATTAAGGCTTATTATCCAGTAACTATGAATTATTTAATAAGGAATGGAAATCTGGACCTGACGACAGGTTAACTTCTAAAACAGCTCAAAGATTCAAAAGGAAGGTGCTTATGGTTCTCTCGTACTAAAGCGAAAGAGTACCCTATATATTTTTCTTTTCTGAAAAAAAAAAAAGAATATATTTTAGCACATTTTAGCCTTCATCTTAGCAGTATGATTTGTTTTGTGGCTTCTTGTAGAACGACAGGGGTTTAGGATGGTGTGGAAAAAGCTGTTCTTAGATCAGTGCAAAAGGGCAGCTTCTATTAAAGATAAGCTCACTGCCTAACAGCAGAATAGCTAATGCAATCTAAGTGCTCTCAAGCATCAGTTAGTCATATCAGAGACAATCGTCGTTACTGTATTACATACAAAGGGGAGGGGAGAATCGGTCAACTTCTGAGAGCAATGGTGTTTCTGTCTTTTTTCTGAGGGAGGGCACTTGCATTAATCACATTCTCTAGACACAAGAGCCCAGGCAGAGCCTGTGTTGACATACTTTCTGAAATCCAGTGCCTATGTTTGGATGTGTGTGAATGTGCGTGTATGTTAATCAGTTTTAATGAAAGTAATGATAAGAACATATAAGGGACACTTACCATTAGGGGTGCGGGAAAAAATCGATTCTTAGATGCATTGCGATGCGGACGTGAACGATTCTGAATCAATTCACAAATGTCAAAAATCGATTTTCTAAATATTTAATTTATTACGTAATGTTGACGGAACTTGGAAGTGGGTAAGTGAAACGCCCAGACAGTCCGTGATGGCACACAACAAAAACACTACTGGATGAGTGAGAAATCCGACCGGCTCCCTCTGCATTAAAGCCAGGTTAGGTCAGGAGTCACAACACAAATGATAAGAAGAGCCATTTTGCCTTTCAACAAAAATCAAATTGGGAGCCACAACATTTAATGTCCAGTATGTCTCAGTATGTGTTAATGTCCTAGTATAGACTAAATAATATAAACGAGAGCGCAGATTTACTCCGCTCTACTTTAAGCTTCACCTACAGCCGCTTTCCTCCCATCTCCGCCAGAAAACTCTTCCTCAGAAGTTGATCAGTTAAATGTGTCAGCGTTCGACTGTTTTACGAGGCTGAAGTCGCTTCTTATTCTCCAGCTTCTTGTTCAAATTTACCTGTTCCACCTTAAATTCTAACTGAGGCGCCGAATGTAAATGCGGCACCATTTAAGCTGGAACGTGAGAATTCGAAAGAGAAGCGACTTCAGCTTCGCCACTTTTTAGTGTTTGACAGTCTCTCGTTGCAGATTTAACGCAACAGGAAACCAACTGCACTGCTTATAAATGCGAATAACGCATCGCTGCTTTGTGACCTGCAGTCTGCGCGGCGGTTCTCCCCCGTTGCGAAACAGGGCTTTTGCGCTATGCTGCACACGACCCGTCTCAAAGATACTTTACTGACACAGCGATACCCCAACTCTCTACAACGAGACCAAAACCGAAGTTATAAAATCACTAAAGAAAACGGGTAGAATAGCTGTAACATGTGCTGCGTGGACATCCACTACCACTGGATCTTATTTCACCGTAACTGCGCATTTTATCGCAGATGAGTAGCAGCAGCTTCTCGTGCTCCGAACAAGAGCACTGAATGAGAGCCTTCTAGTTCACTTGCCACATCACTTCCATTTGTTTTATTAAAAAAGATATTGGAAGTAAATTCATTATGGATCATTACAAATACTTTGCTTTAGAAGTACCAAGTCACTTTAAATAACAATAACACTGAGTTACTTGGTCACTTTAAAATGTATATTGTCTCTATATTCTGTACATATTTTGTGTATATTTTGTGTATATTTAATATATTTCAGTTGGTTTTTCTTGTATTCTTATTTTTACTTATTTACTTTCCGTAGAGTGATTAGCTGAGCCTCACCACAAGCATTTCAATGCATAAATGTCCTGACATGTTGTGCTATAACTTGAAACTTGAACTCGACCCTTGAGCTCACACAGTGAGAAAATATAAATGCTATATAGAAAAAAAAGATGCATCGAGATGCATTGATAATCGTTTTATAATCGCATCGCAGCCCTCTGAATCGTAATCGAATCGAATCGTGAGGTGCCTAGAGATTCCCACCCCTACTTACCATGCTGAGATCACTCATCTTATAGAAGTAGATTGTGCATGTATGTATGTGTGTGTTTGTGTGTTACTCACTGTAGTCCAGGACCCATATCTCCACTGGGTGAGTAGCTGTCCAGCTGCTGCAGGTCGTGGGGTGCTGAGTACTGATGATCCTTGAGGACAGGCTGGCAACTCACACTCCTACATGTATACACATACAAGCAGTTAGGTAAGGACAAACACACACATTTTACTACCCTGTGTATATGTGTGTTTGTGCCTGTGTACATTTATGTGCGTATGTGTGTGTGAGTGTACCTGACTGTCCTGCGGTCTTGAAGCAGCGTTACACTCCCGGTCATCTACGGTCTTGCCATAAGCACCAGACACACACCTCACCGCTCGCATTTGGTATCCATGCCCACAAGTCACTGGACACTGCAAACACATACATACAGGATTTATTTAGTTTAAACTTTGACTGGTCTTTTTTCAAAACACTATTATAACACAAACATCAATATAGAATTGCCGGATCAGTGTGGCTCTCTCCAAAGGTTACAATGATACTAGCACTACTAATTATAGGACCCACTCAACAAATCATTCACCTTAAGCCAATACTGTTATACGGTTATTGACAAAATAATAGCTTTTGTTCTTAAATATGTTAAACAGTGCGTAGCCCAGAGAAGAAATCTGTCTTAATCAGGAAAAAGTGTCTTCATCGCATTTACTCTGGAGGTCATTCAGATTCCCTATAACTAATAACAGCCTACTTCACCCAAACCAGACACCCTCACTCCTCCCCACAAACAACACACACACATACTCTCACTGGGTTTTGACCACCATCTGTCTTGACTCAAAATGTGTTCGGTGTTTAAAAGGCTCAGAGGAAGTACTCCAGGATGTGTTTATTTGGGTTGCAAATTATGATTACACAGGCATTTAGTAGCATATACACACCGGCCATCTTCCGTGCACAGAGGACCCAACTCCACACTCAAAATAAGAAATAAGGAGTTAAACGCTTTTGTTTTGTAATAAACTTTCATCGCATTCATCCACTTAAAATTTACAAACACAATGTCCTTTGACTTTGTACTTATTAATATAAACAAAAAAGCATGTATTCATAAGCATAAACAAAGACATGTTTAAAAACAAAAATGACAGGGAAAAAAGTACTCACACCACAAATTAATAACATTAGCACTTTATTGTAAAGCCATTGTTGGCAATTACAGCTCAGAGGCAACCACTGTTAAAAGTAAACAGCTTTTTGCAGCATTGTGGTTAAATTTTGGACTCACAATTTCAAAATCCCATTGAATGGGATTTAAGTCAAGAGACTGGAATGGCCATGCAAGCAACTGCACTGTTTTTTGACACTAGTCTTGAGTTATTTCGGCTGTATGTCTGGAGTCACTCAGTGCGTTTACATGCACTTAATAATCCGATAGCTGCAGAAAATCAGATTTTGTCAGTGTTCTATCATTGCATTTATATGCACTTGAGTAATCAGATAATGTGAAACTCCAGATCTACATGAGTCAGGCAGTAATCGGATTTCTGCCTTGCTTCCAGCCAATAAATTCAGAGAAGAAGACGTGACGTAAATGTAATGTAAACTCAAACTCAATGCAGCAGCTTTAAAAAAACATCACGCCACTTTACCTGAAAATATGAACATACACCATCTAGAAGATGAAGAATATTTAAAGCCTTAATTTTGTCGAGCACGTAGTTGCTTGCTCATTTCTGGTACTGTGGTCTGTTCTCGCATGCGCAGACTGAGAAATGTGAAAGAAATCCGAGTATACATGCACTGAGAAATCTGATTACTGAGCTAAAATTATCTTTATCGGATTTCTTAATCAGATTTCTAGATCCGAGTATGGTGTTTACATGACCATTTGAATAATTGGAAAACTGTAGAAATCCGATTATGATCGGATGCTTGAGTGCATGTAAGCACACTCACTGTCTTGTTGAAACATCCATTTTTGGCTGATGAAATTTAACTCTTCTCTAACATTTCCTGCTATATTTCTCCTTTCATTTTCTTCTATGACATGTAATGCCCCAAGATGGCTGGCAGAGAAGCATCCCCATATAATGATGCTCCTACCTCTGTACTTCACTGTGCATGTGGTGTTCTTGGGACCGTACATGCAACCTTTCTTGCTCATGGCAAGCTGAATTATTGCTAAAGAGCTCCATCGCTGCTTCGTCTGGCCAGAGTACATTGTTCCAAAATACTTCTGCATGGGGTGCATTAACGGAGATGACTGTGCTACAGTTTATTTCTTATTGTTCTCTCTGTAATTGTTGCTCCTACTGCTTTTTGAGTGACTGCTGGTTGGTCTCTAAACATATCTTTGTTCATGCTTATGAATACATACTTTTTTGTTCATATTTACAAAGTTAAAAGACCTTGCGTGTTTAAATTTGACGTGGATATACAGACTTCTTTTAAATAAAAAGTGTGTAAATGTTCTAAGAATGTAGGTAGCTGTATCTTTGGCAGTGTGATGGTATGTGTGCTGGTGTTTCTGAAAGAACAGTTACGGGGGGATTATTGTGTTGAGTTATGAGAGGCTCTGCTTACATTTCAACTCCACTTCCTCTAAATGAGTTCCCTTCCAGCCTCATATCCTTAAAAGAGCAATATGTGAATCACAGTAGCACCCACACATAAAGACACACACTTACTGCGCTCCAGACTCCAACTTGCCAAGAAGCACATTCTGGAAGTACGCAGCTGCCTATGCTGGAGGGTTTGCTGTTGGGATCACAGTGCTCATCACTGAGTGGCTTCTCCTCCAAAACACAGAATACTTGTCTGTGCCTCACCCCCTTACCACATGTCACCATACACTACAGACAAAGCAGGGAGGAAACAAAATCATATACTCAAGGTCCTGGAGATGACAGAGTAAGTTTGTGTATGACTGAGTGGCAGCTTGCATATGTGTGCACTGCCTGTCAAATGTTTGGGGATATCTAGTTTTTCAAAATGTTTTTAAAACAAATAAGCATGTTTTTTTGGTCAGTTTGCAATAATCTAACATATTAAAGACAGCTATTTTATGTTAACAAAGCCTTTGCAGGCTTTTCCTCTTACGTAACTGAAAAGTAACAGCGAGAATGTTCAAATTTCAAAAGTAGTCAAGGTGTCTTCTGACTGGCAACTTATGACAGGCAGTGTATATGTAACTTACCTCAGTCCACTCGCTAACTGACCAGTCAGGACAGGGTATGTCATTGCAGGGTTCTGTGACAACTCTCTGGAACTCACTACACTCTCGCTCCACCAGTCTGCGGCCCAGATTATTCATGCAGTAGGAGTCACGCATGCGAGTGCCTTGTCCACAGGACCTAGAGCACTGCAAAAATCACAAATTTACAGCAGCATTTAAAACACTGTCACAAACACAACTTTACATCAGCTCTTTCAAAAATTACTGCGACAAATACAACTTTACACCGTTCAAAAACACTGTGACAAATACAACTTTACATCAGCTCAAAAAGCACTGTAACTAACAACTTTGCACATACGCTGTTAAACACTATAAAAATGTTAGGTCAACTTAAATGGTAACTGATTTCACTGTTTTGTTTTGTTTTTGAGTTTACTCAGTTTAGTTAGTTCTCCTAACACCTAAGAAAACACAATTTAAGTTGAACTAAAAAAAACAGTAAATATGCTGCCTCACTGTAAGCTGAAAGTGCTTAAATTATTTATCCAATCTTTATTCAGTTTCATATTTCCCCTCAATTTGTTCATTGCTAAAACCTGCAGTTTAGGACTCGTCCAAAGCCCCTAGGCTGGGGGTGAGTGCTTTTTACTCTTACTCCTGGCCATGGAGGGCTGTGGCATCACATAACCCCAGCCCAAAGACACCATGTAATAGCAGGAGTTTTCACCACCTTAACCACCTCAAGACTTACAGCAACTTTAGCTTAAAAATAAGGCAGCATATTTACTGCTTTTTTTGAACAAGTGCAGTTTAAACTGTATTCTAGAATTTTTTAAAGTGAAGTCTATTTGTGTTTACTCAACAACTTGATGTGGTTTGAGACAATGGTATAATAAGGCAGGTATGTGGGGTATAAGCTTCAATTACTTGTTAGCTACATTAGCCCCACAGCTCTATTGCAAAACTAAAGAAGCAAACTTTAGACACCATACATGCCATGGCTGATTGACTGCATTTGGGCCAAGGGGAAAATTGTGCACATTTAATTTTTCGCTGAACTATGGCTATAACTATATCTAAGCAGCAGTGTAAAGAAATCTAACAGTGAGACAAGTTTTGGAATCATCAAACCTGAGACCAGGCGCTGTATTGCCAGCTCTTCAACAGGCAGTCTCCATGGCAGGGCTCACGGCTCTGTGGTTTGGCCAAATCTGCACAGGCTCTAGATTCCACTTTCTCACTCACACTCTTCATCTGGCTGTAGCGCATACAAAGCACCTCCACAGTACGATACCCAGGCCCACACTTTGTGGAGCACTCACTCTTACCTGCCACATGCCACCTGATTAGGAAGGAGAGTTGTTTGAGTGAGAGATAGGGTTGTAACAATACATTGTAGTACAATGCATCGCAATGCGAAGATGTGACAATGTGCGTCATAGAGTTGGGCAATATCAGCTGCATCCTAATAATGATGCCATTTAACGCAAACACATTTGAACACCAAAAGTCACAGTCGACTTAGTCAACCCAGACACTCGTACCTCCCAGTTCTACTTTTATCCAAATTTTGTTCAAAATATCGTAAGAATTTCAAACTGTGAGCACTGTACTGAATCAAATCAAACTGAGCTGAGCGTATTATTACACCTCTAGAGGCACTGGGTTCTGCAACAACTGGCAGGCATTTGGGGCTTCATGAGACTTTAAACCTTAGATTCCGTATTTATGTGTTTCCAGACTACTAATAGAATTTCCAAGCTTGATGTGATGTTTCAGTCACAAAATTCAGACCCAGGACTTGATGCAAGTCTGTATGCATGTGTGTGTGCATACCTGAGTTCGCAGTCTGTATTGCAGGACTCCATAGCTCCCCTAGGTCGAGCTAAATGCTCACACCTCTGGTCTGACACCACCAAGTGATCACTCCTACGTACACATACTGCTTTTCGTCGTCGCTCTCCTAAAGTAGCACATATGTATAAGTGTAGACGTATTGTAAACGTATAGACGTCTTGTTTGTTTTTGAGACCTGCTCTAGCTAGCTCATTATAAATGTTTATTAATAAAGATTGAAAGGACAAAGTCACCTTGGCACATGCGACTGCATTCTTGCCAGGGGCCGGACGAGTCCCACACAAATTGCTCTTGCTGCTCCTCTATCGGGATGTTAAAGGAGTAACGCACATCAGGATTATAGAGGTTTCCCACACACAGCACCTGAGAAAGTGAAGCATTAGAACGATTTCAGCATCAGTGAAATGACAACTTATAGAGCAGCTACACAGAAATTAGACCCAGTCAGCTTATAATGATGAGCTTAAAGAAGATCTGAATCTCACAATCTCATTTTTGAATCCCTCTATGGTTAACCTTGTTAAACTTGCCTGGAGAATGAGTTCCTCCTCTATACGCTCCGTGCAGTTGATGCGCTCCACTGTGGTGTTGGAGCCACTGTACTCAATCTCTGTTCCCTTAAAGGAGATTTCCCTTTTAAACATGGACACCACCAAGTTTCCATTCAGAAGGAAGTTGGACTGACTGTCAGAAAGAGCTGTGAAGATAGAATAATTAAAAATATATAACTGAAAACATATTCCTGTTTAGGAATAATCATGAATAGGTCTGCAAATACAAATATTTTTATATCTAATTTGAAATTTGAAAGAGTGCCATTTTAATGACATACACTATCAACAATGTGATCTTACATTTTAAGCAGGGAAATTTAACCCAACAACAGAGCTTGTGAACCACCTGTAGATGAGTCAGATCAATCAAAAGCAACCAAATGCACTTACATATTTTCTGCAAATCATTCACATTTACTCATGAATAAAATGCAGCCATTTCAACATTGTTCTAAGTGCAATCACTATAGTTAACAGTGCAAGCACTTTAATTACCACAACACAGTTAATGACTTGTAGGATTTCTACAAGGAAAACGGAGCAAGTATTCATATATAACTACATAATCACAGTTGATTTCACTGTACTTAAAAGGTAAGCTGTGAACGCAATATCCACATACTCAAGACACTAACACATAATTCTTTAAACTCTAAACTACACTAGTGCCATTAATGTATTTACATTATTAATGCTTCACATTAAAATATTCTGAAAATGAGATGCTTTACCATATCTACTTACGTGTGTGCAAATATGTTGCATACTTTTGGAGTTTTGGTTGTCCTCTGAGACTGTGTGCGTGAGCTCACATGCCATTGTTTGTTCACCCAATCACCCTTTAAAGGGGCCAATTTGCCCCACTACGGTGTGAAAAGTTTAAGCAAACGCAGCACTTTTCTTAACACTCTTGTGCACTTTCACTCCTTATTACACTCTTTCATCAACTCTTTCTCTGCATCTGTCTCTAATTACCCCCTCTCTCCCCTCATTCATCTTTTGCTTTCTCTGACACTTCGTTTGCTTTCCCTTCACCCCTTTTCCCCACAATTCTCAGACTGTCTGGATTTCTATTTCCTCCCTTCGTTCTCAGAGGAAAGGAGCTAGCACTCATCGGAACCACAGCCTCAGTCTCTTATTCACTGGCAATCAGTTGTACAGAGTTTATTCACAAAGTTAAACAAATGACATGTGAGAATATATAAATATGAGGATAAATAAGTTAGCTTCTTCCCAAGTTGATTTGTTACATTTACTTTTCTTCCACCCTCTAAGGCTCTAGTGGTTGTTACTGGATTGCATGAGAGTTAAGCAAAACGTTAATGGCTGCTTCCTCAGATAAGACCTACCGAGGTAGTTATCATCTTCTGGTGTTCCCGAGTAGCTGACCTGCTTTATATCAATGTTGGTTGCACCAGCTGGAATTCGCACCACAACATTATAACCTAAGAAAAGGGGAAAAAACATGAAAAAAGAAGAAAAAATAATTTTTTGTCATACTCACACAACAGCAGTGACACTTTTTTTTTTTTTATCACATCTTGATTTAATAGCTTCACCATGTTGCACAGACTGGTCCAAAGGAAATGGATGGTGCCCTTTAGGCTTCAAATGTCACACATGGAAAATCAAACGCAAGAAAGAAAGAATGAAAACAAAGAAAAAAGAAAGCCTTGCTCCCACACATAACCCCATAACCCTCCTGGAGGCCCACCCACAAAACCAAAAGGAGTGAAAAGAAAGGTAGAAATAACTATGCCACAGCACTAGGTTTGCCTTATAATTTACAAGTGGTCACCTTGTTTGAAAGAAGAGAAGAGAAGAGAAGAGAAGAGAAGAGAAGAGATTTAGTGTGTTACTGGACATTTAAGTCCATAGAGGGCAGCACTGGTAAAGGTTATGGCTTTTTCCTTAACTATCCTCTCATTCCTGGAGCGTGTTCATTTTCAACCTCATTGTTAATGCTTTTAATTGAGCTAGAACTGTGCCAGACTTTTGCCTAAGTAAAGCAAGTCTATAAATTTACATCCAAGTGCATGTACTCTGAACTGTAGAATGCAATCAACACATCTTTGAAAGCTTTAGGATTCAGTAGAGCTCAGTTAACACTAATCATTACATAGAAAATCAACTTAGATTCTCATTTCTCACTACTGCATTTCCAGACAGCAACAAAAGTAGTGATCAATGTCCCTGCCTTAATGGTGTGGACAGCGTGACCATATAAGTGTACGTTGAGTATGACACAAGAAAACCACTGCAGTTGTCTCTCCCACAAAGAAAACCCACACATATCACATCCACACAGACTTTCATATACATTCAGCACAAATCTGTGAATGGTTAATGGCAGCAGGGCAAACTATGGACCATCCATACAATAGCCCATGCGCACTGATCTCAGATCAGAGGCAGAGGACTGAAACCTTAGGCTGTGCACACAATGGAAAGAAACCAAAGCCTGACCCCAAAATGCAAACATGGTGCTGCAACAGAAAGGGAACACGCTCCCAGTTAAAGCTTCAGGATGCTTGTGGTCTACCTCAGATTGATACTAAAGGGTTTCAACTTACAACAGAGTGTATTGGAGGGCTTGACCTCATGGAATGGCAAAAGAAATTAAGCACCAGAATCTCTAGCAGGGTTACTGTGAAGTTCTCAGGATTTTTATTCTGCTAGGTCACTAAAGCACTTTCCAAACATCCTATGAACAACATCTACATACAGTTTAATGTACTTGACCTGTGCTTACTTTTAGCTCACTGAAATTCCTACGAGAGCTGCAGATATCTTCCTATGTTCAAAGAAATATCATAGCACTGCAGGTTCTAGTGTTTACCCTGCATGAGCACACCCTGTTAAAGCTGATAAGTTGAAAACACTAAAGTGCAGTATAAACAACTGCAGTGCTGAAGCCCTGCGGGGCTGGAGTTTGACATCCCTGGTCTATTCTGTAATGTTGCAGTCAAAACTGCTAGAGCTGAGGCAAAGTCAAGACCGAGACCTGGACACATCAAGTCCAAATTTTTTCAGAATATAAAAATAAAAAATAAATAAAATATAAAAATAATATATATAGTCTAAAACATCACACATTTTTATTATATTATAATTTCAGTCCAACTTTGCATTACTGGAACCAGTGGTAAAAGGTTTTTTACCTGTTTCTTTCTTCTTTAAAACTCATTCAGAATCATTACCTTAAATCAAATCAACATAAATTAAACTACACCCATTTTTATTATTAAATGAAAACATGGTAATAATAACATTCTGATCTGCTCTCAGGGAATGTTTGAATTTTTGAACCAGTGAACATCGACAAACAAATAATACTTAGTTAACTCTATTTTTGTGGGCAACATGCATAGCTGCCTTCCAGCCATCATAACTTCAGAATGGTTTATCTTACAGACATGATACACAAATCACAGCATTCAGACCCTAGCCTGTCTAGCCAAAGAGAGATCGAAAAACCTTCAAAATCCTCTTGCCATCATGACATTATATCATGTTTTTTAGGCTTCATAACTCAAAAATAATCTAATGCACAGGCTATACACATATCAGAACACTCAGCAGGACTCACCCTCTTTAGCCAGAGCCTTTCCACTGATCTGCAGAGAAGTATCAGCCAGTAATCCAGCTTGAAAAACGACACAAAATCTCTCAATATTCTGATAAGATCACTCTGTCTTGACTTTCCACTATGACGTTAATCGGGGAGAGCTGTGAGCTCTGATCTGCTTCTGTTCAGTCACTTAGTGCATTAGACTCTGCTGTTTTTGCTCTGAGGTCTTATCAAATGAATCTTTGTAAATCAACAATTTACGTTGTCACTTGAAGACTAAACATCATGAATATGTATCCAAGCCTGTTGATATGAGCCGGCGCTCCGTATGCAGCTTTCCTCTCTTCAGCCTGATACCCAGCACTCCGTAGCTGCCAAATTAGACTTCTCATAATGTGAGTCAGAAAAAAACAATTTGAGAGGAAGCTTTTGTTGTCATTTATGTGGGCCATGAGCTGCAAAAGATTGTGAACCCCTGATGCACAGAAAGGACTGTTTCATTCTGTTTATTCTGGTTTTGTTGATATTCAATGATAATTCAGTTTCCAGACGGAAGCATCGCACTAGGCTGGTCTCGAGAACAATTTCTGAGTCCACCTTAACCCAAGACCAAGACAAGACCAAGACCACTACTTTATGGCCACGAGACCAGTCTTGAGACAGAGATCGGGCTTGAGTACTACAACACTACTATTGCGTGTCTGATGTACCTGATCACGCCTGTTCACCTGGATAATGAGATGTCTAATTAGAGACAACATAATTGCTTACCGACCTAACAGGAGTCAAAGTCAGTGTAACCCTGAATACCACCACACATTTTTATTCTAAAAAACAGTTGAGGTTTTTTCTAATGGTGGCAATTAAGCTGGATGCTTCAATGGCTCAAGTGCACAAAGCCAAAATTGCTACATCATATATGAGGAGGAAAAGAAGAATGACATAAAGTTGAGGTATAATTTTGTATATGTGTTACTGAGTGGATTGATAAAGAAAATACCTTTGACATTTATAAGACATTCATTGTAAGTACTTATTTTTACACCTCTACACATTCCCTTTTTTCTTTACATGCATATTTATGCTTCAGCATGGAGCTGAGATGAGGTGGAGATAATCGGGGCCCAATGAAGAGTTTATGGAATGTTTAGGGAAAAAGCAGGACTCTGTGGAATAGTTTGGAATCCTCTACTTTGTACATAAAGATACTGAGTGATTTTTTTGGGGGCACCTTACATGGCCAATGTCAGCCAGCCTCTTGTTAGCTTTTTACTGTTCTGTTTGGCTGTAAATGGAGAAGGAAGCTTTCTGATTTGGTGCTAGGGGAGAAGAACATAGAGGAGTTTAAAGAAAGGAGGAATATCCTGCTGCCCTGACTTTGTTTACCCCAGACCCATCCCAGCCTGCGCTGATGTTTTGGGTTTGACTTCTTCCAACAATGAGAGCATTGCCGGTACTCTCCTCGCTTTAAAGACACAACAAACCAGCTGGAGATTAACCTTCAAGGGGTTTTAGACTAATCATTGCGTGGCACTTGCACAGAGATGGCTTACTTACATGTAATAACATTAATAAAATATATAGTAAAAGTCCGCATAGATAACATAAGAAACTGCCCACCTTCATTATTGATGCCTAAGGTGAAAGACTTAATATATGAATCATAAGCTTACCATATTGTGCGTTGTTGAAGGTGCCGGCGACAGTCTTACATGACGAGTTGTCCCCTCCACACACTCCACACTTATCATTCCTTGCCTTGGAGTTCAAAACATGATCACAACCTGCTTGCTGGAGAATTACATACAAAAATATGGGTTTTATGGTTAAAAGAATCAGTAAATACAAGAGTAGTAGCCTCTTAGGAGTATACTATGTGACTGTGTATTTGAGTACCCTGCACAGGCCTTGCACACAGATGTCGTAAGTGTCTGGTCCACACGGAGTTCCGTCAACCACACGATCTCGTAGCTGGTAGTAGGCCATTGTCCCAGCAACACGACAGAACAGCTTACATCGATCCTTCATTAAGACTGCAAATAGAAGCCTGTGCTGTAATACCATTACAAGTAAAATTCAAAACATACACAATAAAAAAGCAACATTTACTCTCATGTTTCCATTTCACTTTTGATCTGTCTAATCCATCTTTCTAAAGTCAGCTAGCCATGTGTTGCCAAAGAGCGGACTCTAACCATGCAAGGAAAGGGGTGATTGACAAAGAGTCATGTACATGTGGGCATGTGCATATTTACATGGCCTCCATTTTCATTTACCCTTTTGTCTATCCATATTAAGAGTGCATAGAGTCTTGTGGCATTCTGCAAAGTACTATTCTGGGCCCTTCATTATATAATCTGTGCACAAGTATACCTTTGCCAGTATAACTAATAAAGAAACGTTACATTTGCTTTCATCAATATGCAGACGCCACAGCTACAGTGTATCTAGCGTAAGCACAGATGCTCAGATTAACCAGTGAATGTCTCTTTCCTAGAATTAAATACATATAAGATGGATCTTGATTACTGGAAATAAGGCTCAGAGAAAAATATACGTGTTCATTTAAAGTCGTTTATTTTGCTGTATATAAAGACAAAAAAGACATAATTTTTGACAGTGTCTTCACTTTTAAGGACTGCATTAGTGATCTGTTGATTATCCTACTATCACCTGCTTAATGTCTCCAAGGTCTGTAACATTCTCTTCACTGCTGACAGTGAGAAATTCATGCCTTTGTCTCAGGCTGGATTACTATAAGACCCTTCATCTGGCTTGCTAGGGAATTGTAATGTTAATTCATAAGTTCTTATAACTGATGTGTTACTCTATGTGTGCTGCACAGCTGAAACACTCACTGCCACTGTATTTGGGCACCCAGCGGACGGTGGGAGGCAGTCCATTTATGTTAAAGTGTTTGCCATCAAACTGGGAGCACTGCTCCTCTCGGAAGTCTTTCCAGCCCCTTGGACATGGTTCTGTATTACAGGAACGGAACTTCATGCGGCGTCCCACACAAAACCGCCCACCATTCCTTGGCCTATCACACACACAAATACACACACATATGGAAATAAAACAGAACTCCCATTCCTGTTGCTTCAAAAAAAAAAATACACAAAACAGTGTGGATTTAAGATGAAACATTTATTTATGTGTTCATTGCCAAGAAATGATTGTGCTTTTGCTTAGTTTTTATGAGGGGTTTTCACTGGTTTTTCTCTGTATTTTTTACTCAGATGTGTGTACTTACTCAGGTCTGTTACAGTCTCTAGATGTGCTCCGTGTTCCACCACCGCAGGTCCTGGAACACACACTGTAGGGCCCCCATGGTCCCCACTCACCATGCACTGGTCTTGTCTCCATCTCTTTATTCACACACATACCATGTCTACAGTGCTGTGGACAGATAAACACATGCACAGACACAATAGTTAAAAACAAGGCTTACAGTGGTTGAAAATAATACCCGTCACAGTTTCTTGATTCCCAGCCATGCATGCAATGTGTCAAAATATAACCATCAACACCACTCACAGATTTAAAGCACATATAGTGGAGTCTGCTGTTTTTTCTTCCCACTCCAATCCAGTGTTTATACATAAAGCTATATCTGAAAAGAAAACTCAGCATGTGCTAATCCTGCTATTATTTATGCAGGTGTAAGGGCTCCAGTATAGGCCCAGCTGTGGGAATAAAGCTGAGCCAGTTGTTGCTGGGTCTGTGCTGGGCCAGCAACAAGCCTGCACTTCGCTCAGCTCCTCACAGGGTAAGCGAGAGCAGAAGGTGTTGGGTGAAAGGATTCAGAGACCAGCGTTCTCCACTTACACATAGACTTTCATCTGTGTTTGTCACAAAGCACAGTCAGACTTTATTGTAACAGATAAAATCGTCAGATGAGTTAGCATCTGTAGCACTAACCTCAGCCAGGATCACTGTTACATTCCTACTCTGATGATGTTACACAATCTGGACATCCTCATTCTCTCTCTCTCTCTCTCTCTGGTAAGGTATCAGAACAGCTAATTTACTGAAACTGTACAATGTTTGATACTTAAAATGAATTGATACTTGAATTGTGGCAGAGGTCTTGGGGACACCTGGCAGACAGTCTAACTATAAGGTGACCTATGTAAGTCTATTCATGCATACCTTTTGTAAAATACATTTTTGTGAGGTTTGCCTCTGCAGTTTTTTCACAAGTATTATTAGGCAAGTAATCCATATATTATGTATATAAATTATTTTTACACCTAAGGCCACACCACACGTGCCACATTGAGCAGCAAAAAAAGCACCATTTTTCTGCAGCGTGACACTCATTATTTTGCCTTTACTATGTTAAACTAAACTGAGAATGAGACCACAAAATCACATGGCTTGTAATTTACACCCAGAAAGACAGTGTAGTCTTTTAGATAAACAGAAATTCAAATGGCATATTTTCACAGCCAGTGTTAAAACCAAGTCCCTTATCACCTTCTTATTTTTAATCTGAAAACAGCCAATTTGTGAAGAGTTACTTAGCTGATACTTAACACGGTGAAAACATAGAAAACAAGACAAGCAAAAACAATTTCCCATATATAGAGAAAGCTCTTCAGGAAATGCTGACTGTTTGTAGTAACAGCCTTCCAACACACAAAATATGCTGCTGTGCTGAAAGTAACCTAGAATTTTTATTTTTCACTAGGCACTACAGATGCCCTGCGATGGGCTGGCAACCTGTCCAGGGTGTATCCTGCCTTCCGCCCAATGACAGCTGGGATAGGCTCCAGCACCTCACCGTGACCCAGAAGGATAAGCGGTTTAGATGATGTATGTATGTAGGCACTACAGATTTTGTAATTTTGTCATTTTTACTATTTGCTCAAATGAGTATAGTAATGCTCTTTTTAAGGAGCAGTGCGAACAATGCATGTCAGATATGCAGAATATTGTCATTACTGTTATATACAGTTAAATAACTTGAAAAAAAGATTCTTGAACTTAGAACTCTTTGTAATTGTAATTTATCACATTTCACACTGTCATCTCAATGTTCAACAGCTTTACTGCACATCACACCTTGTTCCATTTCATGCGGGCCTAGTCTTAAGGTAAAGGGATTAATAAACACACATTCAATGCTGGGCTAAAGCGACTGTGCTGCAGTCCTCCTTATTTGCATGTAATGAACTCATAAACTCTCAGCACAGCAAGGGTCCGGTTTGGAGCCGAACTGGTCTGCTCTGGGTCGAATACCCAGCAAACAGTGAGAGCGAATTATTGGCAGCACTAGCAAGGCCTGTCTCAGTGAGCATGGCTGCCTTTTCATGGTCTGTAACCAAATCCCCCCGTGGTGCAGTGGCGATGGCGGTGGGCTCCTTTCAGAGCAGGAATGCTGGACAGCCCGGCGTCTGTCTCGCTGCTTCGCCCCGGCACAGGCTCACCGCTGGCACACACACCAGTGCAGAAGCAGGCGTGGTAGTGGCATGCACACACCGATAAGGAAACCCAAGAGCACAGATAACACAGTGACAGAGCTCATTACAGTCTCCGACATCCAGCTTTCCTCTCTCTTTGTCTCTCTGTCTGTCTTTCCCTGCATCACTTTATCACTCTTTCTTGCTATTTTTTCTATACCTCTGTCATTTTGCCTCTCTCTCTTTTCCTCCACCGGAACCACATAATTACACTGTAAAACAAAATAAGACCTGGTATTGACAAGTCTAAGACATCGCGACCGTTATTGGTGTAATGTGTCACTGGTGCTTCATGACAAGCTCATTCATACCTCGGCTGGATATAATGGCCTTTGTCATGAAGCAGGCACCTGCCTTTCCAATACATGTCTTGTCCACAGGGTTCTATATTCGTCAACAAGTCTATGATTAATGTTATACAATCTGGTGTGAATTACAGACATCATTCGTTCTACACTGGGGGGCTTGAAGTAAAAAATATAGTTGTTTATTTTTAACATGCGCATGATGCAGTAGATTTTACTAATGATGCAAATGATGCAGCCTCAAACAGGCTGAGAACCTGAGCAGCGCTGCTAGTCCAGTGCACTGCTAAAAAATAAAGGCCGGGCATAAATGTACACAGTAGGACAACATTGTCTCTCTATAGGCTATTTTACAGACAGTTAAAAAAAGTAACATTTATACCTCACAATTCTACTCAGTCAAACAGAATAAAGTCGACATATACGAACTCCGTTTAGTTGGCTTATGTATCTCTACCCGTATTGGGGAAGCAGATGTGATTGTGTATTTGATCAACTGTCCAGGAACTTTACCGGGCTGAGGTGGCAACCCTAGGTATCAGCCCGACACCCGATATCAGCATCAGTGTCAAGGCATCCCTAAAAACAACACATTCAAAAAGGTTTCAAAACTTCACTTTTTTACAACAATTCTAACAAGACATTCCTACATACACACACACACAAACCCAAATGTGGACCATATCATGTTGGAAGTTGGCAGTTGGAAGCTTTTTACTCCCCCATTAAACTAGTCAATTTAAAACTTTTAAAACTTTACAACAAATCTAATCATAAATTCTCAAACACACACATACACAGACAAAGACAAACGTTGGTCTACCATCCTGTACACGTTTCTATCAGTCGTTGTGCTCCTTTTAAACTAGCTTATCTGGCCTATTAGAGATTGGAATAGGCTGGTATTTGTTAATGCCTGGCGATTGCAGCCTTAGGCCCAACAAGAGTTTGCCATGTGTGAAACAAGGTTTGGATAAGACAGTTCAGATGAAACAATGATGGAGTAAAAGTCTTACATTAAACGACAGGCAGGTGTTAATCGCTCCAGGCTTGCGCTAAACAAATGCAAATGTTTCTCTAATGCAGTAAAAGGAGAGAGCAAGGCTGCATTTTTCATTCCTTCATAAGCAGTCAGATTTTCACTAGCCTTCAACAATTCCTGATCCATAAACACATAAGAGTGGCAAGAAAACCTAATCCTAAATAAAACCACATAATGCAAATTCTTATTGTAAATTTCAAAAGGCTGTGATCTAAATTCATATCATATATTCTGTTTTAAGGGGATGCAGATGTGATTGTGTATTTAAAAACAAGCTAAGCTGCATATGAAAAACTATCATTTAAATTGTTTGGGTATTTAGAAGTGTGCAGCCGTAAATGGGACAAATATTTAAGATTTATAGAGAGCTCTTAAAGAGGAGTAACATGCGGTGATCTGCTTTATTGTTATTGCCATTTTTACTTTTATTAATTTTGTCGTTTTGCTTATTTATTGATTGATTTATCTATTTCTATGACTTGTGTGTTTGTCTGCTCACTTATTTGTATATTTATATTTGTATATTTATTTTATTTGTTATTATTAGTATTATTTATTTATTTATTTATTTATTTATTTTATTTTCCTTTCTTTTAATGATACAGAGCCTTGTACAGCACTGGATTAAACCAGGTCATGAATGTAGCACTGACACAGCTAGGGTGGGAAGGGGGAGGATAAAGGGGGTTATGTTACAAATACTGATATGTGTGGTTTTGTATTAATCTAAGAGAAAAATCAACAAAAAATGTTAATCATAAAAAAAAATTAAAATAAGAAAAAATTACAGTTAATTTCTGGTGAGAATTTGCTAAGTTGGAATGATTGAAAATTGTGTCAGAAATTGTGGGATCAGAGCCTCCTTCCCTGCCAGTTTGAGTCATTTGTTCATCAGCACAGCAGTGTGCAATCAGCTTACGTCACATCAGCAGGTACAGGAACGTTGGTATCGGTGAATTTTACGAGTACGGGTAACTGAGCATTGTATCGGTAGTGTGGTCACTTGTCCAGGATTTGTTAGCTTTGGGTTGAAAAAACAGGCTAATAAAATTATTTACAGGGCTAATGGGAATTATCTTACTCAATACTTAATTCACTTATTTGTATCATGTACTGAATGCATTAAACACAATATCCCTCCACTAAGGGGGGAGGTGGGGTATCTAAAATTCAACATGGAATGAATTTCAGAAGAATGCAGAATTGCAATCCTGAATCAATTTGAAGCACTGGTAGTTGGCCAGCCTAAAAAAGGGTTTCTAAGGTTTTTTCCCATGGCATTACCCTCCGCTCCATGTTGTATGTTTCATTTTATGTTTATTGTAGTTAATAAGCTACCATCAGAAATCAGCCTCAGCCTAGTTTCTCTCCATAAATTTACTTTAAGCAGAGTAAAAATAAAACAATCACACTCTTATTCACACCCAGCTTTTTCCCATGTATAGCACCCCTTTCTCTATTTGCAGAACCCTTAATTGCAAGCACTCTGAAGCTGAAGTGTGTGTGTGTGTATGTATGTATTTGTGGCCAATTGTGTATGAGTGCGTATGTGGATAACCCAGGACCACCAGTGAGCTCCTCGTGAGG